CCCGAGCCACAGCCTTATCCTGGAGTAYGAGACAAGAAACTGATACCCTGCCAGGGTCGCAGAGAAGGCTGGGTCTGAGAAGGGACTGAGAAGGATTGAGAAACATATGTGCCCTGGGGCCTGTGAGGCCGAACCAGGCTCCAACTCAGGGCCGAAGAATCAAGGCCCTCGTAAGACTCAAGTGAAAGAGTTCAGGAGGTTCGCCGACTGACGGTAGAGGAACATCTTAAAGATATGCAACAGTTTGGGATAATAGTACCAGGAGTGGGCAGCTCGAAGACCCGACTGTTGGACTGTGCTGGACCCCCCCCCCCCCCTCCTCTGGTCACAACGTCTCTTCTTCTCTCAATATTTTGTAAAAGGGGACACTGGGCCCGTTTCCCAGCAGTTGCAGCTCCCCACTAATAGATGGAGCCTCCTAGAGAGCAGCTTGAGAGGTCTGCTCCTACCAGCATCTCAGGCTGCCTCTGGAGATTGTTAAACCGCCACTACCTTTCACAGGCAAACGCGAAGTCCATCTAGTAGCCTACTCCTTGAAACACGGGGCTCGGGGCAGGGTTGGAGGCCGACGAAATAAAAAAGAAGAAAGAAGGGGAAAAAAAGAAAAAAAATGAAAGTTTCAAATCCAGGGACGTCGGAAGGCCCTCACGAGGGTGGAAGTTGCAGAGGCCTTTGATGAATGTATCTGGTCACTATGTGGGGAAGGGGTTTGCTTTTTTGTTTTGTAACTTTTGTTTTGATTTTGTTCCCATGTCGTTTTAGTGCCCTACCAGCAAGGCAGGGAGTATTTCACAGGTGGCACATAACTGTCTCAATGCTGTAGCATCTGTATCCGCCCTCAATCACAGCATAAGGGAGCTTTTTTTTGTTTTGTTTTCTTTTCCTTTGTGTGTCCCCTACACGCCCTCACCGAGGGCACAATCACACGAGCACCTCATAGAATGTATCTGGCCGTTATCGAGGCGTTCGGGATGTTTGTCTTTTTTCTTTTTCTTCTTTTTTTCCCCCTTGTTCCTTCTTGGCTGAAACTGCCCCGGCTCGGCAAAACTTGGTGCGCTGTGAAAGTCAGGCTTGGCAAAAACAGGGTCGGAGGTAGTGGTGGTATAAAATTAAAAAAAAAGAAAAGAAAAGAAAAGAGAAAGGCCCATCAATAGAGAAATTGGTGAACCCATATGGCCAAAATGAAAGACACATTCACATCCCCACTGCTATACTACTTGTAGATAACCTGACAGTACTAATTAGAGCAACAGATTCCTCTTTCAGTGCTTAAGCTAAGGCCATGTACATGTTCCAGTTAGCCTCAGAAGTGGAGATCAACGGGATCCAAAACGGTAGGATGGTGGATGACAGACCCACAGGACGAGGTGCCTTGGCCATCAACAAAACCAGAAGGAATGCAATGGGTGCAGCAATGAGATACTTTGGGATCAGGATACACAACATAGGCCCGTCACACTCAACGCCACCCGAGATCCTAGCGAAGATAATAGCCTGGTCGTCAGTTTATGCTTCCCTATACGGCAGGGCTCTGGTTCTCAATTCTTCGATGTTTTCGATGCTTTGGTAAGCCGAAGTACACAGCTTAAAAATAATCCGAGAAGAAATGTTACACAGAAGACAGTAAAGGGAGGCCAGGGAATAATAGACCCGGAATTGCAGATCAAAGCAACTACAGACAAATGGGTTTGAACTTTGAAGCTCTTCACTACCCATAGGCTCCCATTGACCACTCTGGCACTGAACCGAATTAAGCACAAATGGCTGAATATAAGACTCCAGCTAATACGAAATTGGTTATTAAGCAAATCATGGGCAACAAAGGGATCGTGACCAGCTGCACAGAAAAATGAGCAAGAGGATCAGGAGGGTAAGGAAGAATACTGGCCTCAGTCCCTTATACTATGGAGGGAGATGGTCATGGCTAAAGTAAGTGTTACATGCCCAGTTGGGTGATGTGCAAATCAGACTCGTACTCATTCACACTTTTCATGCATGTAAACAGCAACGCAGCAAACTGGCGACATGCGCCCACTCAAAACTCTGAGATATGGCTT